CCCCCGCTGGCTGCCCCTGAACGGCTCCGCCGGCGCGGAGGGCAGCGCTGGGGGCCGCGGGAACGCCACGGGGCGCCGCGCCCGCCTCCGCAACCCCTTCTACCCGCTGACCGAGGAGTCGTACGGCGCCTACGCCGTGATGTGCCTCTCCGTGGTGATCTTCGGCATCGGCATCATGGGCAACATGGCAGTGATGTGCATCGTCTGCCACAACTACTACATGCGGAGCATCTCCAACTCCCTGCTGGCCAACCTGGCCTTCTGGGACTTCCTCATCGTCTTCTTCTGCCTGCCGCTGGTCATCTTCCAGGAGCTCACCAAGAAGTGGCTCCTCGAAGACTTCTCCTGCAAAATCGTCCCGTACATCGAGGTAATGCCGGTGGGTGGGGATGCCCCCGCCCGCCCGAGGGGACGCGGTTCCCCGAGCAGCCCTCCCCTCCCTTCTCCGCTTCGCTGCGAGCGGGGCCGGCCCGGGGCCGTCCCGGTGCGGCGCGGTCTGGGTTTCCCGGTGGGTCCCGAGGCGGAGCGGGCCCCGGGCGGTGACCGGAGGAGGCTGTGGCCGCCTCAGGTTCAGCAGCGCCGGGATTTCTGCAGCCTCACACCGAGCGTGTCCGGCTCGTCCTTCCCCTCGCGCGAGTTCTGCCCAACTTTCCTGCTCCTTGTCATCCCGAAAGGCGAAGAATCCTCCCAGAATTAGATTTCGTGGTTTTTTTTTGGTTTATGTTTTTTTGTTTTCCTAAAGTGAAGTGGTTCAGGAAAGTGGAAGGAGGGGGGAGCTGGGGATAGACTGTGAGAAAGTGATTGTAAAAAGGACCATCAATGTGATGTATGCGCTCTTAATTTATACTTCAGCGTTCGAATCTCACACTTATTTATTTGGCTTATCTTTATTTAAAACAAAAAAAAACCCACCAACAGACTGACCCCAGCTCCATGTAAATTGCAGCTTGTTGGCAGTGGTTCAGAGGCTGTGTTAGAGAAGCTCTCAGCCAGCTGGCCAGAGTCCTGCCGGCACCGCTCAGGTTGTCGCTTTATTTATTTACTGGAACTGAACACTGAGGCTTGTTGGTAGGGTGGTAGCCCGTCATTCTGGCTGGCTCTGCTGTGTTCCCAAAACCTTATGCTCAGTATTATTCTGTAACTGAAAGCTGAGAAAATAGGTGTTGATCCTCATGTCCTAAGAATGAAGTATTAGCGGGACCTCTTCTCCCCCCCCCCCCCAAAAAAAAACCCCACCCAAAAAAAAAAAAACCAAATTCAAACCGCATCCCTCCTCCGCACACATTAATCCATTAGGCTCATCCCATCCATCCTTCTGAGGGCTCTATGGTTGGGGTTTTGGGGTTGATTTTTACCCCCCCCCCCCCCAAAAAAAAACCCTCACCAAAAAAAAACAAACCCAAAACCAAACCCAACTTGTTATTAATACATGGAATATGAGTTTCAACACACAATAGTATACAGAAATATGTAGTTAACTGTCAACCAATATTTTTAAGTGTTTAGAAAGAAGTGTGATGTGTGCAGCCACTAAGTTGCCATTCCTTCTGTAATATGTGATATACTTCATTGCTGGTGGTGTTGGACAAAGGGTGGAGCTGTGCTATGCTTAGATGAATTCCGGGCCAGTAGAAAAGCATTACATTTGAAAATCTCAGACTACACTTAATCGATTTGCATTTAAGAAGACGTGAAGGAGTAAATATGTGTGTTGAGAAACTGATAGTGCCAGGAGCTTTTAAAAATTCTGAGTTAGGTTATGGGGCTACTGTGTTAACCAATAAAATATGTAGTACTGTTTCAGTTAAAGTGTAGCTTTTTCAATTAAAGTAGCTAGTGTAGTTTAAGCGTTTTCAGGACTTTCCTGTGGTGACATTTCACCATTCCTAACCATTTTTTGGTGCATCCACATACAAAATAGAAATGATTCTTTATAATACTGATTCTAATTAAAGATCAGTAGCTGAAATTATTTGCATGGCCACGCTGTTCTTCAAAATTAGTTGCTTATGCTGTGCAGCTTTGGGCGCTAAAGAGTTTGTCAAACTGAAAATAGCTTCTCTGAAATGTAGTTGCCAAAATTCAAAGCTATAATCCTGAAAAACATTCAGCTGCTGCTATCCCTCCTTTATACTTAATGACACCTTACTTTTTCTCTTTAAAGTTCTGCACGTGTCTAGAGTTGAGGTCTTGTTCAAGAACTGGCAGCGATCCAGTCACAATGGACCAGTAGCATAGTGCCTGTCTTAGGCTTAATTATTACTGGGGTCTATAAGTGAAATGTTCTCCTTGTCCCTAAGGAAATTTAATTAATTTGTGTCTAAGGTACAGATCTAAAACAATGTAGCCTTGGGGTTCTGTGTTGCTCCCAGGATTGTATTTTCATTCAATAGTCATTAAATACATGTATGTAAAGTATATTCATCACACTGGGAGCCAGGAGTGGTGGAATATTGAACTCCACCGTTGGATTGTGCCTCGCTACAGCTTGTCTTGAGCTTGGTGAGGAGGATGCTGTCCCGGAAATCAGGATTTGACCCTGCTGAGATGAAGGAGGGAGTTAGAGAAAAGTTTTGCCACTTTGCAAGTGTTGTTCAAACCTCACAGGTGTTACACAGTGGCGCTGACACCACCAGGAGCAATGAAGATGTGGAGCATGTCATGAAACCTGTCCCGTGAGCAGCTGCTGCTCCATGCTCTGTCAAGGACTATTCACAGCAATGCACTCATCTGACAGATGAGTTAACAACTGTCTTCTCCCTTGTTGGAACTCACCTGGGTAGGCTCATCCACTTCTTACACAACGGGAGAAGGATGAGGTCCTCTTAGCTCCTTGAGAGGGATGCTGTAAACAGTTATCTTCAGGAGAGGTTCCTTCATGGAATACAAATAGAAGCATATTCCTGAAGATGGACAAATTTTAAGATATTCTCTGTGTTTTCTGTAAGTTAGCCCAGTGTTTTGTTCTTTTAAGCGTCTTTTTGTTTCATGCTCTGCATCCCTATTTTGCATGCCAGTGCTTCTCATATGCTGTTTAGAGAGCTACTTGTCCCACCCAGAGTTGTAGATCCAGAAATATTTCATTTTCAAGCATCAGAGACCCTTATTGGATTGAGTTCTCTGTCATACCAGCTTGTACTTTCAGAACTAGGGAACAGAGGATGTCTGATCGTCCAGAGCAAGTGATGTGGTGATCACAGCATTTTAACATATCTCAAGCATGCTTTGTATTGTGTTTGAAGGTGTCAAGTGGTCCCAGTGAGGAATCTTGATTTTTCTTAGTTTAGCCTCCTGTCGCCAATTGATTTTTATTTGTGCTGTTTAATGGGTGTTGTGCAGAATTTAACAAAACATCTGTTGCCAGTGATAACACATATGCACACAGCCTGGGGAAAATGTTTTATGATGTCTTCAAGCACATTTGTGTAGGTAAATGTTGAGCTTCGAGCAGTGGAAGGTCTCCACAGTATTTAAATTAAAGGGCAGTCTTCCCATACCTAATAAAGATCTGCTGTGACCAAGTACATTAAGCAGTCATTTCAGCCATATATTGTATCACAGTTTGGTCACTTCTAACTACTTTTTAAAACTATGTCTTGCCTATGCTTGCATAAGGAATGCCGTGCACCTGACTGAGGAAGAAACTGAATAAATTAATTCTTCCGTGCTTCTCATCAGGTCTTTAGGTGATAAGAGTATAACTGCTAGGGAGCAAAGCTAGAAAGACAGATGGTTAGTAGAAATGGATGGAATTATCTCCACCAAGAACTTCACTTGACCCTGATGATGGCAGTGTCCTGGAGGAGCAGTTTTGAATGCACTGAGAGGGAGTTGAGAAAAGAATTAGAACAACTGAGGCAGCTACTGTGCCCATAAGGGTGTGTGGAGATGTGCTTCTCCTTTGCAGTTTTAATCCTCTACTCTGCAGTTTTTAAGATTTTGCCACTTTTCTGCAGATGGTTCCAAAGTCTAGCTTTAGGCATGCGTGTCTGAAGTGTTTACCTGCACAACGTGTTTACCTTGTCTTCGGTATACTTCTCTCTGTACTGCTCAAAATCAAGAGATACAGGGTAAACAACAATACAAAGATAGTGGCTTTGGCTAATTCCTGTTCCCCAAGCCCTGACAATGAGGAACCCTTTTCTTTTTGTTTAAGCACATCAAGTCTTTCCAGAAAAAAGACTAGGGGGAAAAAAAAGAAGAAAAAAAAAAAGAAGAAAAAGAAGAAAAAGGAGTACAGAACAATATGGTTCCAGTTGCCCTACTTATAGATTTATGCTGGGCCTTTACAGAAAGAAGTATGAATGTAGACAAATCAGTAGTTTTCTAAATATTTCACAGCTGGTAAATATAACAGTCCTGTGAAGTAGCATTTTTATTTTTTATTTTAGTGCTGGAAGCCAACAGTGAAGAGGTTAAATAAGTTGTTTAAAGCTTGGGGCAGCTTGCTCAAGTTGACAAATGGATTGTGTCAACTAGGACAGGAAACTATCTTTTGGGCTTAAAAAGGAAGCTTGCTTGAGTTGTATGCGTTCTGCTCTTGGAGGTTACGCTAGAAGCTTGATGAGTTTGCGGGGAGTTGTTGGAATTAGGCATCACTTTCTATGCCAGCAGATTGAGACCAGCTGCTTATAGTGGAGTAAGGATTTAGAAATGGGAAAGGGTCTAGAATGAGGGTTTGGGGAGGCTGATTTACCATCTTGTGTGGTCCAGCACAGAACAAGAAGTTGCCAAGACCAGTGATGGTACTCTGCCCTGGGCTAATAAACATGAGACCCTCTGCCTTTCTCATACCCCCCACAAAGAAGAGAAAGACAAGTTTGTGGTGTCCTCATCTGGACCAGATCACGCATTCGAGGCTGGCTTGAGTCTGGAGTGGGCTGACGGTGAAAGTCTCTCAAATCGGATGCCCAGCCTCTGCATGTGCTTTTGGCAATCCAAATTTTGCTTTGTGGCATCACTCTTCTTTTTGGTGGACAACTTCCAGCTCAGGAAAGCTGTCACAATTAGTATTCTTTGTGAAAAGCATAAGGATTGATTTGGCCTGGAATACAAATTACTCTCTTTCCCTGGAGCTGACCCTCCAGGGCAATTTGAGGTGAGGCTTTTTCCCCTTTCTCTCTTTTACTTGGTAGATGCAAGCGAGAGGCACAAAGTGCCTGGTGTCTGCCTGTTCCAAAGCTGTCAGAAAAGATCCTCATTTTAAGCTTCACTTCAGGGAAGGAAATACATTTTTTATGGGAGTTTATAAAAGCTGTGTGTTATCTGTCTTCTCTCTGTCTTTTGTTGTGTGGCATCTTCTTTATGTCTCTTTTTTGACTCTAGTCAGAGCTGGGCTCCTGAACCTCCCGTAAGTCCTCTGGGTCATAG